GCCTTAGGCATGAAAGCTGTCTGAGTGACTTTGGGCCAATCACCAGGAGACGGTGAGTTCTAGTCCTGCCTTAGGCATGAAAGCCAGTTGGGTGACTTTGGGCCAATCACTAGGAGACTGTGAGTTCTAGTCCTGCTTTAGGCATGAAAGCCAGTTGGGTGACTTTGGGCCAATCACCAGGAGATGGTGAGTTCTAGTCCTGCCTTAGGCATGAAAGCCAGTTGGGTGATTTTGGGCCAATCACTAGGAGGCTGTGAGTTCTAGTTCCATTTTAGGCATGAAAGATTGCTGGGTGACTTTGGGCCAATCACTAGGAGACTGTGAGTTCTAGTCCTTTCTTAGGCATGAAAGCCAGCTGGGTGACTTTGGGCCAATCACCAGGAGACGGTAAGTTCTAGTCCTTCCTTAGGCATGAAAGCCAGTTGGGTGACTTTGAGCCAATTACCAGGAGACGGTGAGTTCTAGTCCTACCTTAGGTATGAAAGCTGACTGGGTGACTTTGGGCCAATCACCAGGAGACGGTGAGTTCTAGTCTCACCTTAGGCAGATAAAATGAAGAGTTGTGTTGTGTTACAATTACAGCAAGTCTAATAGACAAATTCTCAATATATACAGGTTGCCCTCCATATACGACTGTTATTAACCCCCCAGTGAGGCATTACCTTGACATGGTTATTTATTAGTATTATTTTCTCACAGGTAGTCCTTGACTTACGACAGTTCACTTAGTGACCAAGTTACAAAGCACCTGAAAAAAAAGTGACTTATGACCATTTTTCACATTTATGGCAGCGTTCCCAGGGTCATGTGATCAAAATCCAGAATGCTTGGCAACTGACTCGTATTTATGACTGTCGCAGCATCCCAGGGGTCACATGATCCCGTTTTGCGACCTTTGAAAGAGCAAAATCAACGGGGGAAGGCAGATTCACTTAACGACCGTGTGGCTAACTCAAGTACTGCACTTAACAGCTGTGGCCAGGAAGGTGGTAAAATGGAGTAGAACTCACTTAGCAAAGTACTCACTCAGCAAAACGTTCCGTGGTTGTGGTTTTCTTTCAGGGCCGCTGTAACTCTGAACGGCCAATAAATGAGCCTTTAGCCACCAGACATTTAACCCTGAATTTCGCATAATTCTCTACCTCTCAAGTCCTTCTGAAGAACCTGGGACAGGCAGGTGTAGGTGTTTAATAATATTAAAGATATGGTTGCAGTATGTAAGCTTTTCTGAGTAAAATTACCTTTTTCAATTGAGATTTTCTCAGTGCCAGTGCTGTTCAAGTGATGCTCCAGATGCTATAAATTGTTATTATTATTGACCTGTTTCCCCAAAAATATGACCTGCCCTGAAAGTAAGTCCTGGCTTGATTTTGCCATATGCGCCCAATATAAGCCCTACACCCAAAATAAGCCCTAATTAAGATCCCGCCCACTCCAGACCGGATGGGTAAAAATTAAGCTAGGATGGAGGTGGGGTGGACCTGCCCTACTACTTACCTTTGGACAGTAGTAACCAGGCCTGACACACCCGATACCTGCCTTGCTGGCCCGTTTCTTCTGCAGCCAGCGAGGCTGGCAAAGCTTTCCTGAAGGCCTCCGGAGCTGATAAGAAAGCTCTGGATCGATCCAAAGCTCCATTATCGGCTGCAGAAGCTTTCAGGAAAGGCTTGCCGGCCGCAGAAGAAATTCCTGAAGGCCTCTGACCACGAAAAGGAAGCCAAGGGCGACGCGCGCAAGTGAAGTTAGTCAGTGGAGGGCTTCCCCCAAAAATAAGACCTGGAGCCTTTTTTGGGTGGCAAAAAAAATACATAAATATTAAGACAGGGTCTTATTTTCGGGGAAACACAGTATTATTATTGTGACTCAATTGCAGCCCTCCACCACTTCAACAAATTCTTCTTTTCCTATATACTCTCTCTAAAGTGCCTGTCCGGGTGGCAATAGAAAGGAATAACTGCCTTTTCATGACTCTTTTTCGAGATTGTTTGGGCTGTTTTAATTCTCCTGTCGCTTACCGCCAGTCATTTGATTTTCCAGTCGCTTCGTCATGTTGAAACATTCACATGCGCCTGTTTTAAAAATAAATTATCCATGCCTTCCTTTTTTGTCTTATTGGAGAGAGAGAGAGAGAGAGAGAGCTATCTTGAGGGTTCTCTGGAGAATGGATCAGAATGGGATCTTTTTCAGAGAGGCTCTCCAGAAAACCCTATTAAAAGGAAAAGCATTTTTTGCACTCTCGCATAGGGAATTTGGAAAAAAAAGATATTTGCTATATGCATTTGAATAGAAACTTACTGTTTGGCATTTTTAGAACAATTCAAGCAATATTAGCAAGACTAGATTAGCAAACAATAAGAACAAATATGTACATATTCAAAAATATATACGTATAATATATGGTAGTATACTATAATTAATACAATGCAACACGATTTAATTAATATATGTGCTTTATACAATACATACATGCACATACATACATACACATGTGTATGCATGAATGCGTGTGTGTGTGTGTGTGTGTGTGTGTGTGTATATATATTTTCTGAGGTTCTCGCGGGTATTTGTATGTGGATCTTTGGTT